TGAACACAGACAGAAGGCTGCTTCCAAGCACAAATCTTCCGTCCTGGACCAGGTTGTCTGATCTGATTATTTTATTTTGCCTTCTAGTGAATGGAAGTCATAAGGCTGCATCTCATGACTCTAGGAGAGCTAGGTACTATTTCATCCCAGCTTGGTGTTAGACCTGGGGATTTTAGAAGCGGGTATTTAGTTAAGAAGTGCTTGTGTAGAGCAGAAGCAGTTCCCTACCCTGCCACTCTGGGCCAAACTAGATGTGACATTTTTAAATGAATCAGGCCTGGATTCCCCAGGCCTAACTTCCTTTCCCTGCAGCCACACAATGGCACCTGAACCTGGGTCCCCCAGATCCAGCGCAACTCAAACCATTATAACAAGCTGGCATTCACTATGAACGTCATCACATAGGAGTGTCTCATGCGGATTTATCATTGCTAATGAAAAAACAGTGGCAGCTAAGGAGTCTCCCAAATCAATGATGGTTCCGAAGGCTACCATGGAACTGAGAGGAGAGGCGAACTACTGAGGCTTGCCTCTAATAGCATATTTGCTGATCACTACTGAGTTCCCTATGGAGTTCACAACAGTCAGCCTTGGCTGGGTTTGAAACAACACCTATGTTGAAAAGCCCCTTAGGGTTAAGTATCAGTGCTGAGAGACTGCAGCAAGCTGGTGTACTGAGGCTGTTGTGTCACTGTATCAGCCTTTAAAAGTAGGCATTAGTAGGAGGGCTTGGAGTGGAGATCAACAAAGAACTGGTTCTGACCCTGGAATCAAGGCAGTCCCCATAGAGTGTGTAGTAAAATAAAGCACAGCAGGCCTTAAGCATAAGTAGTCTGTTGTCTCTCGACAGTACTAGCAACAAGAACAGGAAAAAACTCCACCCACTTCCACCACTCTCCAAAACTACAGGGGCTGAAGAGATTCAAACAACCCCAATTAATGGGCACAATACCCTTCTGACCCATGCCTCCAAGAATTTCACCTTGAAACTGAGGGCAGCCAGGAAAAGATTCTTTCAGTCAGACAAGCCTTTAAAGCCCTTTATGGTCACAGGGACCTGACTACCTGAGGGACTGCCTTTCCCCACATGTTCCCCAGAGAGCACTGCAGTCCGGGTCGCAAAATCGTCTACCCCCCCCCCGGTCCTAAACATGCCAGGCTGGCAGGCTGGTATCGACCAGGTCCAGGGCTTTTTCTGTGGCAGCTCCAACTTACTGGAATGAGCTTCCAGATGAGATCAGGGCCCTGAGGGACCTTTCACAGTTCTGCAGGGCCGCAAAAATGGAGCTCTTCCATCAGGCATTTAGGTAAGGAGCTGCGTTGCATCATCCTTGTCCTGTGCCAACTTTTTTTCTAGCCTGAGCCCACCAATAGTGGAGGCACTGCCGTATGTGCACTTTGCTACAGTTGTGGCGCTATCGTTATGCTAATGGTTTTAATAACTTTATTGTGTATTTTATATCGATTTTATATTGTTTTATTTGTTGTTTTCTTTGTAAGCCGCCCTGAGCCTGCCTCGGCGGGGTAGGGTGGGGTAAAAATCAAATTAATACTACTACTACTAATAATAATAATAATAACAATAACAAAAAGAGGCTCCCATCAGGCCACACCTCCAGGCTTCTGGTCAGAACCAACAGAAGGCAGAGAGGGGGACGGTTCCTTCACTCAGGCAGTGTCTGCCAGGCCACACCTCCTAGCTTCTTCCCTCGGCACCGAGAGAAGGGGGAGTGTGAGGGTTCCGAAAGCATGCTCTACTGCTGTAGGAGGAAGAGTTTCAACGTGGAATCTTAGGACTTTGACATCGAAGGGATCGAGACTGTCGAACCCAAAGTGAGCCCAGTGTCAAATTACTTGGAGACACCAAAGGTTGCCTTCATGTCGATGCCAATGAATGGCAGTGAGAAGCAGAAACTCTTAAACATTATGGGGATTGTAAAAATCCCTGCAAGACTGTCAGAGACGAGATCAATGATTCCAAGAAGGGACCCACGACATCGAGCTGGCTCCTGGGTAGGTGGCAGTTTGCTGGGGCCACTGAGTCAGAGGCTCAGTCAGGCAACACCTCTAGGTTTCTCCCTTCAGGGCACACAAAGCCAAGGAGGGGGATAGTGCCTGTATTCAGGTTGGTACACAGCCAAAGCCTTTTGAAAGAGCCAGTGACTCCAAGGATCTGTCTCACCATACCTCGCCACAGAGGGGGAATGTGCCAGCATTCAGGCTGGCTCCCAGTCAAAGCCTTTGGCAAGAGCCTGTGGGTCCAAGGCTGTGTCTCACCATACCTCATCACAGAGGGGGAATGTGCCTTCACTTAGGCTGGTGAGCAGCCAAATCCTTTGAAAAGAGCTCTTCCGTGTCCAACTCTATCCATACATGCCTTTCTGTTGTATGAATCCTTAGGCAGTTAAGGCACAGACAAAGGCCAGTTAACAACATTATTCTAAAACAACAGTTGATCCAATCATGAGAAAAACCAGAAACATTTCTTATTTAAAATATAGTTTAATGTTCACTAAATCAGTATTGATGACAAAAGGAAAAATCTGAGAGAGAAAAATCTCCTCAGCCTCTAGAATGAGGTGAGGAAAAAACAGGGAACAGCAGAGCAGATCTGTTCTCTTCAGCAGCAAAAAGAGAACTGAGGGAGTAGTGCCCCTCCTCCTGGTCATGTGATCATTTGGCAGGAAAGTGCTAGAGGGAGGAGGGGTGTGAAAAGTACCCGGGAGAGAAGGGAGTCGCGGGCCGACTTGGCCGCGATGTCGGCAGCATGCAAAGGAGGCTCCGGGAGATTTTCGATGAGCAGGACCCCTGGTGCAGGAGCGGGATCGGCATCTGTGGCTGGCAGCGGTAGCCGGCTCAGGGCGTCGGCATGACCCATCGCCTTGCCCGGGCGGTGTTCCAGGTGGTACTGGTAGCCAGCTAGAAACAGGGACCATCTGAGGACGCAGGGTGACAGGACTTGGGGCGTCTGCTTGTCTGCAGCTAATAGGCCTAGGAGGGGCTTATGGTCCGTAAGAATAGTAAAAGGGCACCCGTAAACAAAATTGCGGAATTATTTTACCCCTGCTACGATTGCCAACCCCTCCCTATTGATTTGTGCATAGTTCCGCTCCGTGGCCGTTAATGTTTTTGAGTAGTAGGCCACGGGAACCTCACGGCCATCAGGGAGGACGTGGCCGAGCACTGCGCCGATGCCATAGGGAGAGGCGCCACACGCAAGGACAACCGGGCAAGGATTCATCAAAATGGGTGTCAGGATCCACAGCAAGACAACAAAGTACATGCTTCTAGGAAGGTTTTACTTTTATTGAAAAACTATAGATGCAGTAACATGAACACTGTTAGGAATGGCGGGTTACCTATGCGCATAATAGAATATAGGGCCTTCGTATGCACCCCCCCCTATGTAGTACCCAATTAGATGGGCTCCCGCGCGCGGGCATTTGGCAGATTGCTAATGGCTGCAGAAAATGGGAACTTAAGAAACTTCCCACGAAACCTAGACACGCCAACTCCTCCAGTGGCCTTGAGAGATATGCATTACAGCAAAGAAGCAATTAAGTGCATGGGAAGGAATGTACACCAGTTAGAAACATACACCACACTCATGGCAGCATAGCACATCATTGGAAATTAAAAGTGCTTTCACCCCCCTAAATGCCGCCGCTTCCCTCGGGCCCCAGATCCAAGGGGCCGACTTATCCAGGAGCCTGTGTAGAGGCTCTGCTACCGCAGCCTTGTGTGGCAAAAAGGCGTGGTAAAAGTTTATTAGTCCCAAGAACACCTGTAGTTCTGCTTTGCATGTGGGGGTGGGAGCCTCCACGATGGCCTTCACCTTGTCCTTCACTGGATGAAGGCTGGTCGCATCTACCCTGAACCCCAAGAAGTCCACCTCCGAAAGCCCTAGGAGGCACTTCTCCCATTTCACTTTGAGGCCAGCAGAGTCAAAACATTGTAGGACGGCGCGGAGGTGGGAGGCGAAGTCATCGGGGGACACCGCTGCAATCAAGACGTCATCGAAAAATGGCGTCACTCTAGGGACCCCTTTTAACAATGAGTCAATTAGTTGTTGGAAAATCCCCGGGGCTACGCTCATGCCGAATTGTAGCCTCTTTACCTTAAAGGCCCCCCTGTGGGTTACTATTGTCTGCGCCGTGGCCTCGTCGACCGGCAGCTGTTGATATGCTTGTGCCAGGTCAAGTTTCCCAAAAATCTTAGCTCCCACTAGCGAGGCCAGGACATGACTAACGACCAGGACCGGGTAGGAGTGGTCGTGGAGGGCCTTATTAATTGTGCATTTGTAGTTCGCACAAATGTGGACTTCGCCGTTGGGCTTGAGGGGGGTTACGATGGGCGTTTCCCATATAGCATTTGGAACTGGCTCCAGGACCCCTTGCGCAACCAAGCGGTCCAGCTCGGCATCTATTTTTGGCCGTATGGCGAGTGGAGCTGTGCGGAACCGCATGTGGATAGGAGCCACCAGGGGGTCTAACTGCAAGTAAACCGGGGGCCCTTTGTAGCAACCTAAAGCCCAATCAAAAACAGCTGGGAACTCCCCGCAAAACTCTGCAAAATCCCTCAGACCACATTTAAGCACCCCTCCAACCCCAACCGTGATGCCCAGCGGCGCAAACCAGGCCTGGCCCAGCAGACTGACCAGATTTCCCTCCACCATTATCAAGTCCAACAGTCTCTTGAACCCCTGGAACTGTACCCGGAATGTCCCCACCCCCCTTATAGGAACCGGGTTTCTTTGGAAGTCCACCAAACTCAAATGGGATGGGCGTAAGCGGGGGCCCCCCTTAGGGCAAAGTCTGCATAGCGTGTCCATGGAAATGATGAATGCTGCTGACCCCAAGTCCACTTCCATTGTGCAGGGGGACCCTTCGATCTGAACCGTTAATTGGATTTTCGGGGTATTCTCTAACCTCGGGAGGCGTAGTACCTGTAGGGATGGCCAGTCTGTGAGGAGGTAGAGGTCGGACATCTCTGCTGCCATCTCATAGGTGGTGGCGGCCGGGCAGCATGCCTGAGCTGGGGGCTGCTGGTGCTGGCTTCCCTTGGACCGGCAAACACGAGCGAGATGACCCTGTTTCCCACAGGTGTGGCGTGTCGCGGAATCGGCAAGACTTGTGCTCGTGTGCCTTGCTGCAACTGGCGCATGAGGAACGGCCTGGGGTCTTTCCAGTGGATCCTGATGCCACAGGGCAGATGAGACGGATGTCCTCCTCCTCTGAGTTCTCGGGGCCCGAGTCGGGGAGTACGAGGTCAGATGTTGCTGGCGAGCGGTTGCGGTGGGAGGCCTCGTGGGCGATGGCGAGTTGGAGGGCCGCGTCGATCTTGATGTGGGCAGTACCGATCATTTTCCTCCGCAGTTTTAGGTCACTGATGCCCCACGCAAATTGCGTCAAGAGGTTCTCCTCCACCTTTGTGAATGCACAGTCCATGGCCAGCTGGCGCAGGGCTGCCATGAAAGCCGCGGCCGACTCACCCGGTTTCTGGACGTGGCCCTGGAATTCGATCCGCCTGGCGAGCGTGGTTGGTCGTGGCGTGAGGTACCTTGTCAGGGCATCGACGATCTCCTTGTACGAGCACTCGAGGATTGCCTGGGGTGTGAGGAGGCTCTTTGTGAGGTGGACTGTGTTCACTCCACAGGAGCTACGGAGGAGAGCTTGTCTTTTGCCTGGATCAGTGACCTCATTGTAGACGAAGTGGCAAGTCAGTTGGTCTGTCCACGAGTCCCAGAGTTCGGGATGGGCTGAATCGAAGATCTCCAAGTTCCCCCGAGCAGAGGCCATGGCGTAGCGGTAGCAGGGAGCGGTGTTCCTTGATGCGGTGCACGGTGCATTGCTGGAACAGAACTCAGTGCTGCGCTGGGATGCGAGCTAGGCCTGGCTCAACGGAATCCCATCCTCATCGGCACTGAAAAGTACTGGGTTCGCCGCATGGAAGACTCGGACGACGACATGCGTTGCACACATTTATTGTACTTAACACAAGACTAACTAAAACGGCCCTGCAAGGCCAACTATATACACACACACCCAGCACAGCCCTAGTCCATTGGAAGGTTTGAATTTCCCGCCAAAGTGGCAATTGGTTGGGGCTGGAGGGAACTAGGATCCTATGTTCCTATTGTCTAGGGGAGCCAAGCTCCTGTCTTTGCCGCGGACCCCTAGTGGCGGTCCGCGTACATAACAGGGTGCTCCTAGTCTACAAGAAAGCTTGGAAATCTGTTCTGCAGCTGGCCTATGCACACACAGGCAGTGTGGGACTGCACGGAAGCCACAAAGTTGAACCATAGAGTTTCTGATAATTCCTAGAGCTACCCCAAGTCACTTTTGGTCTTTTACCAGAAGTAATGTAACACCACAGCCAGTGTTGCAGCCTCCCCATTTCCCCTCCCACATACACCCCTCCCCCCGTTTGCTGGACACTGCCTAGCAATCCTATGTGTGTGTGTGAGAATCAGACAGACCTGATGATTGTTCTTTGAAGAGTTCCTGCTCCAACAAACGTGAGAGGACAATTACTTCCACAAAGCCTGAATTATTTGTTCTTTTTTGCGGCTTTCTTTTGGTGCTTTTGTTGTGTCAAGGCAATTACATTATGACCTCCTGCCAGGTGATAGGGAGGCCTGTGGGTAAAATTTCTGTTCTCCACAGGCATGGCCTTATGGGAAGCAGTTATGCCACTCGGTTGAGTACTGGACTCTGTATCAGGCTCTGAGGCAGCCATGTTGTAATCAGAGCAAACTGGGCCTTCTGAGCAATATAGGTTGGGCTCTTCTAGGCTGGAGATGAACATGTCTGTTGAGGCAGAATGCAGCTCACTCTGGAAAAGGGGATGGTTGGATGAGGATGCCTGTTCTGCAGAATGCTGGCTGTTAGTGGATGCGCCTGTAGTAGCTGGGTAATACCACGAGCTTAGAGGGGTGGCTGAGAAATGGGTGGAAGGACGACTTTCAAACTCCGGTTGCAGCAATGACTTCTGGCTAAGAGATATCACCATAGAGCTACGTGGAGTAATCACTTCCATGGCATTGTTGAATGTCTGTAGCACACGATCATCCTTGTCCTTCTCTTTCTTCTGACGTGACTCCTCCAGCCGTAGCTGACGTCGCTGGTCACGCATCATCTGGTTCCGTGTGTCCACCAGGCCTCTGTGAAGTAATAGAGTGAAGGAAAGGAGGAGGATAAAATAGGAAGAGGTGAGCTGGAAGTCTTTATAGGACAAAATCACCTATCCCTTCACCCTACGGAATTGACATCTAAATAGCAAGTTGTGGGAATATAAAGATGTAAGGATGGTCAAAGGCAAGGGATGAAGAAGGGAAGGAGTGCTTCCAGATCAAAGTTTACCTTCAGTTGTAAAAAACAAAATGAACAAACAACCCCCCCCCTAAAATGTAGAGATTCTGGGTCAGGTCACATGGACATTTAGTGCGGGCTTCGCTGCTGATCCCTCGCACATTAAACTTTCCTGTTCATATTGGAAAACCCGCCTCCCGCACCGAAGTGGGCTCAGTCCCGCGGTTTCCGCTCTTTTTATCCGGGCTTTCTGACACCCGTTGGAACAGGTGTTTTCCAATATCTCGCGCTTTGTATCCGCGGTTTTGGCATCTAGACAGCAATCCGCCGTGACCACGCTACCCTCCTCCCTTTTTTGTGTTTCTGGTTTAAGTTATGCACATGTGCAAGCAGGCGCTAGCTTTTATTTTGGTCTTCTTAGTTTGTATGTATGCCCAAGCGCATGAACAGTTTCTTTTTTAAAAAAAACCACGCCGCCGCGGGGACGGCGCGCTGTGTGATCAGTACTTCGCGCGAGTGAAGCGGAAGACAGAGGGACCGTCTGACCATCTCCAAGTGATATAAAATGTCGCGGATAGAAGAACTATGGGAAAACTAGCACGGTAAGAGGTCTGTGTGACCGCAGCCTCTGTTTTACTATGCTGTACATGATAGTGTTCCCCCTTGCTGTATGTATCAGCTTCCTACTTCCATGAGATTTCTTTGTTGTGCTTCAAGTGTTGCTTTTCTCTAGGTCTCACAACAGGCTAGCTGTGCAGTTCTGTTACTACTACTACTACTACTACTACTAGTAATAATAGTAATAGTAATAATAATAATACTTTTCATTTATTAATCGCTTTCCCCAGTGGGCTCAAAGCGATGTACAGTTACTCAATATAGACAAGGGACTAACAATGTTTGTAGGGGATAGGGAAGACAACATATATTCATTTTTAATTGCACGCGCCGTCACTGCCCGGTGTAGACGTCTTCTGGCTGGCTCCGTCATTTTCCCACACGGCTGCTTGCTGGCCAGGCTTCAGGACCCGTATGTCAATCGCCACACTGCCACCGCCTGGCCGGAACATCCATTGCGGGAGTTCTTTTCGTAGCCGTGAAGCTGTTTCGCCTTACAAGCCTTGACCAGGACATCCGACCGTTAGCTAACGCCCTCCCACAAGGGAGATTGGCATGCCCACCCTCTCTAAGGAGTGGTTTCCATTTTATCTACTCGCCGAAACTTTCGAATCGCTGGGCGAAAGTTGCCATACTTTCATGTGGCAACAATTGTGTGCATTCAGTAGATGATTTTGTGCCATGCAACAGGGGTGGCCTTAGGCCTTTTTTGCACTCAGCTGATGAGCAAGTAAAAATAAAATGGACCCCCCCTCCTCTCACTGTTCTGGCTGTTTATACGAATGGTAGAGATGGAGACTTGAGTTGGGGAAATGCTGTCTCTGCCATAGGCCATTTAGGAGCCTTTTCCTGCTGCTGCTTGACATGTCTGGGCTTGACCAAGGACCACACAGCAAAGTAAGTGCAAAATGACAGTCAGGTGGCCAGAGGCCAAGTTTGACTCAGAAGAATCTGGAGCCATTGCTGCCTTCTGCTTATAGTGTAGCCCAATGATATCATGTTCTTGTTGGCAGAGTTCAGGAATAATCCAATCCGCGCTTTGGAGTCTGCTTTCAATTCGTTTACTGCAACGGGATTTTTGCAAAAGAAGACAATAACTGCCTGCCATTAATACAACAGAGAGGCATTCAGAGCACAAGCAGTAACACATACTAACACACAGCAGAGAGAGAAACAATTGAGGTAGGCTCAACTGCAAGAGAAAACATTAAAAAACCCCTAAACACTAGAGAATGCTCCACAACTCCCCCTAGGTACAAGCGGACTAAACTACTTTTTCAGCAGTATTTACAGTAATTAGACTCTAAGCAGGCTGTCACTTCTCCAACAGTCCTTCACAACAGCATGTTTACTATTCCATCATGTTTAGTCTTGCTAGGAGGGTCCAATTGCAGTCTCTAGGCAATGGTTTCATGAGAGCATCAGCAGTCAATTCTTCGGTTTGTAAATACTGCAAGTTAATGAGTCCTTACTTCTGCATAACTTTCAGAAGATGATACTTATCATCAATGTGCTTAGACCCTGGGTTGACCTTTTTAGTCTGTTACAGTTTTATACACCCTTGATTGTCCTCAAAGGTTGCTATTGGTTCAGGTCTATCCAGTCCTAAGTCTAAAATTAACTGGTGAATCCAGATAGCCTCTTGGCAGCTGCAACATATTCTGCTTCTGTTGAAGAAAGTGCTACAATTGTTTGGTTTGGGTTTGCACAGCTAATGGTACCTTCTCCATACTGAAACAGATATTCACTTGTGGATTTCCGATCAGTGCTGTCCCCAGCCCAATCAGTGTCCACATATGCTTTTAGTTTTGGATCTGCAGTTGCTGGCTTGTTCCCTTCAGATACCGCATCACTCTTTTCACTGTGTTCCAGTCTGCTTGGCTAGATGAAAAAGCTTTCCTACTCAGAAGTCCTACAGCAGCACTTATATAGGGAGCAGTGGCGCAAGCGGTAAGTGAAGCCTGCATTGACATCTGGCCGAACAGCTTCAGCTGTTCGAGCCCCACCGCGGCCGGGGTGAGCACCCGGCCCTATGTCCCAGCTCCCGCCTACCCAGCGGCTCGAAAGCCTGTTAAAGGGCAAATAGACAAATGGGTACCTGCTCTTAGAGCGGGGGGGCACCCGTCCCTTGCGGTGTAGCGGCGGCGTGAACGGTGAGCAGCGGCGGAGAAACATGGCGGCGGCTGGCGAGGCAAAGTGAGAGGAGGCTGGGACGGCAAAAAGCACGGAGGCAGGGCGACGCAGCAGGCTGGAGCCTACTGGACAGAGGTCGGCAGCGAGCATGCGCGGACGTGCGCTCGGTCCAAGCCTGAAGGAGTCGCAACAGCCAGGAAGTCGCAACAACAATCAAAGACCAGCGCCAGGAGGACATCATCGAATGAGCTCCCGCAGACAACAACGACTAGCTACAAGGGTGCCTCGTAGGCTAGTCACTCTCCCCCTTGTATGTATGTGGCCCTAGGTTAGGATTTGCTTGTGTTGTATGTAATGTGAACTGCTCAGAGCCCTCAGGGGGTGAGCGGTATACAAATGGAATGTAATAATAATAATATCCAGCCTAGACACTGTGGCTAGATACAATAGTTTTCCGATTGCCTCACAATATTGATTATTATTTGACAATGCTTCTTGACTGCTGTCATTTTTCAGGCATCCTACTTCCATGGGTGTTTTCACCTCTTTTGCATCTTTCGTTCCAAAATGCTCCAACATCTCAGTTATTTTTTGTTTCTAACCAAGGAGATAGGTCCCATCAGCTTCTCTTTCTACCTGAGTACCAAGATAGTATGTGATGTCCCTCAGTTGCTTCACTGCAAATTTTTGATTCAACTGGTGCATTATCCTATCATATCCCCCTTTTTGTTCAAAACAAAGTATTATATCATCCATGCAAATCAGGATGTATGTCCATTGGTTATCTTGCTTTCTGGTGTACAAACATGGATCTGTTTTGCCTCTCATGAATCCTTCTCTGGTGAGTACTTCATTTAATTTCTCATTCCACACTCTGGCTGCTTCCTTTAGGCCATAAAGACTCTTTTGGAGCTTACACATAAGGGTCTGGTCCAATGTTCCCTCTAAGCTGTGGAGTTTTGTGAGCAAAAATTCTACTTTGTGAGCTACTGGCATTAAAGTTGTGAGCGAGCAATTTGGCTACTGCATAAATTAGTTTGCTCTGGAGCCATCCTTCCTGAGCTAAGACAAAAATGTGTGAGCTGGAGGCTAAAAAAACAGTGAGCTAGCTCACACTAACTCAGCTTAGAGGGAACACTGGTCTGGTCTAGGGTTGCCAGCGAGAGTGTCCCTCATGTGATGTGCCTGATGCGATGATGTCACCTCTGGCTTCCGTTGGGGGGGTGTGTGGCAATCCTAGTCTGGTCTTCTGATTCCTCAAAGCCAGGTGGCTGGTCCATCTTCTGTAATATCACCATACAAAAAGGCAGTTTTTAGTCTAAATGCTTGACATGCATTCCCTTTCTAGCTGCTGTGCTCAGTAAGGTTCTTATAGTGGGATACTTTACTACTGGGACAAATGTCTCATTGTAATCCTCACCATATTTTTGGGAATATCCTTTTGCAATAAGTCTTGCCTTATACCTTTCAGTTTCCGCTTCTGCATTATATTTCATTTTGAATGTCCATTTGCATCCTAAAGTTTTGTGCCCAGGTGGCAATTTGGTGAGTATCCAAGTCTTATTCTTTTGAATTTATAGTATCTCTTCTGCTGCTGCCTCTCTCCATTTTCTGGCTTCACTTTCAGTCAACTTGGGAATGGGAAGCTCAGGTATTTTCTCAGCTTTGGCTATATCATAGAATCATGTGGCTTGTGGCGCCTGAATCAATATACCATCTATTTGATGTGTTGCTCTGAGTACGTTTTAGACATCCATCCTATTCCTCATCTACAGATTCATTTGCAGCTTTCTTAGCCTTTTCTTTGGGTGATTCTGTGATATGTTTTGTCTGTTTAGCTCTCCAAATTGAACAATTCTTTTTCAGATGTCTGGCCTTTTTGGTTTCTGCTGTGTGCTTTATTGCCTCATTTACCTTGAGAGCTGTTTCTGGTTTTTCACCATCTTCACCTGCTTGTAGTTCTTTTCTGTGATTATAAAGGTAAAGGTTCCCTTGCTCGAAAGCCAGTCAAATCCGACTCTAGGGTTGCGGTGCTCATCTCCGTTTCCAAGCCTAAGAGCCAGCGCTGTCCGAAGACATTTCCGTGGTCATGTGGCTGGCA